CTTGCAGGAGCCAGATTAGCGCCTTCATCCCTGCCTGAAAACCCCAGCTGTTGGGATCCCTCTCCCAAACCAGTCACCAGAGCCAACACCTTCCATATACTAGCACGACAGCAGCTTTGCACCTCCCCTCAGCCAGTGTAATGCACCTCCTCTACATGTTCCATGTATGAGCACAAAAGCAGCCTTAAACCTCCTGTCTGCTTCTCCAATGCACCTCCCCTACACCTTTTGTATACGAACACAACAGTGGCCTTGCACCTCCCCTCAGCCACTCTAATGCACCTCCTCTACACAATCCATATACAGGCACAAAAGCAGCCTGGCACCTCCCCTCTGCCACTCTAATGCACCTCCTTTATACCTTCTATATACAAGCATAACAAACGCTTTACACCTCCCCTATGCCAGTCCAATGCACCTCCTCTACGCTCTCCAGCTGAAAGACCACTATACATCACTTATAGCCCAAAAATCCTCCTGAATGAAGGCATTAAAAGCTGGAGTCCGTGGAAAAGCAGCCCATCTGACAGGTTAATGGATTCTCCAGTGGACAGACTCTTATACTCACCCTCCTTCTCTGGTCCAAACACACTAAACACCCATCACAAGCTGATTTAATGCTCATTTCAACATAGATCAAAAGCACAGAACGACACCATTAATCTACCAGTAACATTACACATCACCACTGCAGCACCCAGTGATTCTATTTTTCTGCCAGTTTAATGCTGATTAACATAGAGTATGTAGATTTTATTACTGCCTGTGTGGCTATTTGTTAAGTCAAGAGATCACTGGAACAAATCCTGGTCTAAACACAGTGGACATCACCACCACAGCCCTGAGGCTTCCAGAGTCACGTCTTATTCCTAGAAATCCAGAGGTCACCATTGTGACTGGGACAACAGGGAGCAGCCGTGGGAATGGCAGACATGCCCCCCTCGACCCTCTACCACCACGGCCTGTGCTCTGCTTCCACACTGCACAGATAATGGGCTCGACCTGACTGCTGGCCGGGGTCAAAGGCTGCTGGAGATCCAGAACTCACTGGCTCCAACCTGCAAGCTGTAAACTCCTCTCAATTAACCTTCCTGGAGCCTCTCTGTCACAAAAGAAGTTAAAAGCAGGTCCAGGAATACAGGGCCACAAAAATAAAACCAGAGGACATCAATCAATCAAACTAGCAAGTGTTCATGTAATACTAACCCACATCCCTCATTATACTTAAAATACCAGGACCTCTACAAACAGCGTCCGTCTCCAGGAAGGTCACGGCCCAAGCAGCTTATTAAGGATGTGTGAGGCTTCCAGTTTGGCTTCTCTCTGCAGCTCCTCTCCCCAGGACAGCCTACGGTGTGACTTTAATCTAAAAAGAACTCTATAAAGCTATTGCCTCTCCCTAAGCACAGCTGATCAGAGGTCCTTCTGGAAAGTAGAGCAGCATGTTAGGATTAGCATTTTAGACAGACCTTATTGTATGTGATTGTAGCAGCGCACAGATGACCTCTAAAATGTAGATTTCAGTCAAAGCATTTTTTGTAACAAATCAGGTTACATTTACAGCAGGTCACTGCTTTGGGACCAGCGACCATTTTGGGTCACTATTCCTTAACCAATATGTTACTTTCTGTCCTAGATATGCCAAAATAGAAAGGTCACTGTATAATATTAGTTGTGTAATAGCTCTGCAATATTAGTCCTGAATGTGCACTCCTGGTTCTCAGGGATGTGTTGAGCACATGACCGCATTATATTACATAAATAATCTCCATGACATTCAAAAAAGAACTTTGTGAAACTATGTTATGATGCCTTCACAGAACTTCATTAACAAGCTAAAAAAACATATAAACCATTAAGCAACCAGAGTATGCAGCCAATAGACATTGTGACAATGCAGGACCAGAACTGAGGGAACTGCTTCCAGGTAAAAAAGCCACAGTCACATCCAGGTAATGAAAGATAAGCGGGAAAATGCTCCCACGATGGTCCCTTCATCAAAAACACGCACGACTCCACTTCCTCTTCACTCCCACCAGCGCCAGTCGATTCTGAGGAAGACCTGGCCTAAACTCGTCTGTTCCCGGAAGCCATTTGAAGAGTCATCCATGAGAGCACCACGGCCAGCATGTGCCCTCCCAGACACGCACCCCCGCAGCGGGTTCCGAGAACCCTGCTCCCCCTAATACAGGGCAGGCAGATGGAAACGGAGCAGCCCACAGCAGCGGCTTACGGGGGAGCTCGAGGATGATGCCTGGAATGGCAAGCACAAGAAATAGCCTACTGTATATGGCATGGTAACATATAGTCTCATATACCTGCAGACACGTACATTCTCACGCATCTACAAAGCCACGCACACTAGTAACAGACATGCTACTGAATCATGACACCGATCTTGGATAATGTCTGTGTTCATCCCTCATGCCTGTCAGAAGGGATTGAGAGGGATCATCCATCACGCTGAGCTCTAAGCAGAACACACACATACACAGTCACGCTCTCAGTCACTCCATCAAAGGAATACTCGTGCGATGTGTATTACTGTCCATGTGAATATTGTGCAAAAGATCTCATTCGGACCATTCTTCTTGGGGGGTGGGGATGGGTCTTGTACGCAAGTGAAAACAATTGTGTTCCGCAAGTCCGAACAAGACACATACACATACACATACACAGTGGTACCTCAGTTGTCGAACTCATTAGAACTCGAATTTCTTAAAAGTCGAATCAGCCAGTTCGAAAAAAAAATGACCTAGAGCTCGATCTGAATCTCAGAAGTCAAACCGTGAACACCGACCTAAGATAACTTATGCGTGGGGAAATGAGTCACATGCAACGTCTGTCAGCGGTAAAGCTTCAGTCTCAGCCTTGCATTCGCTGATAGCATCGTGCATGTTTACACTAACTGAATACATATATTTAGACAGTAAAAATACATTTAGACAATGATAGACAGTAACAGTGATTATTATATAATGAAATACATTTAAAAATAAAGATTTCTTATTCATTATTTTAATATTAATAATAAACCATTAATACATTTAAGTATAATAATATTGTCGTGCTGAGCGGGGACAGAACAGAGACAAAGGCGCAGACGTCAGGGTATTGGGGAATACGGGGTTTAATAACAGGTAAGGCAGGAAAAACAAAGACGGACAATACAATGACTGGACTGTGGAAACCAACTGAAACGCGGACGAAATACAGAGGACTAATGACAACAACCAGAAACAGCTGATCACACGGGGATTCCACACGGGGTTAACAAGGGGGCGTGGCAAGCGGAAAGAGCGGTCGATTGGGGCAGGACACATTGCTAAAAAAACATTTAGGTGTAATTTTTTGGGGCCGGGAACCAATTAATTGGTTTTCCATTATTTCTTATAGGGAAAATTCGATCAGATCTCGAACATTTTAGGATTCGATCCGGAGTTCCGAACGGATTAAGTTCGAGTTTTGAGGTACCACTGTATATATGTATATACAGTGTACACTGTATGTGTATATAATTCTTCTTATTATTATTGTTTAAGTGCTAGACGTCAAAGTCGCTTTAAGCCCGGGAAAGGTTACCCGAGTCATATTACCGGGTTAGTTTGGTAGGTAAAGTAAAACATATCCTCTACTGCCATCTGCTGGTAAAACATGGGTTTTATTATCAATGATTGCGCGTCTACTGGAACAATAATCGGGCAAAAAAATCACCCTCATATCCACACTAACATAGATTAAGTGCAATGTTATGTAGTCGTAAGTTTTAGTTTAACCTTTTCTATTTATAAACCAAGATATTTCACTCCAACTTCAGTGCTGTAACTCATTCATGGAATTGCATGAGATTAATGTATAGGGTTTTTGTCATTCTATGACACCTTAAATAAATTCGGATTAAAATACACATTATCAATAAATACTGGGTAACACTTTACTTGAGGGGGCACAAATAATGCAGCAGTACACAAATCCCATGTTCACTATTAATCCATCATGACATTTCAAGGATATCAGGCACAACAGCAACTTTACTATATTAATTCATAATTTGTTCTTGAGTAGTAACTGAGTTAGTAAGTTATTTGTGCTATAATTTGTTATACATTATACATTTGGGTAACACTTTATAATAGTTCCTAATGAATTACAGTGTGTTTCACTTTATAATGCTGTTCTTGTTCTTTAGTAACTACTATGGAAGAAGTCAGTAACACCACATTCATTACTAATGAGTTACAATTAGTTTTATTTAGGTCATTAGTAAGACTTCATGCCTTATTTAAAATGCATACATTAATTTCTTAATGTTTAGAAAAGATCAACAATATGTGGTGGAGCACATCATGTGGCAAAACAC